GCGAAATATCTTTTTCAGGAAACACACCATCTGGATTATTTTTTAACAATACCCTGATGAAAAAAACAGTCATTACAAAACTCTCATCACATTTTATATTTTTAGCTTTCTGTGGAACGAGTTCATCAATTCACTCCAGACGGAAATATCTAAATAGATTGTTACAGATATTCCTGTTCCCCAGGGTAAGGGTAGAAGCCTACAAAACTAAAAACATTCCCATCAGCCTCAGATGTGCTTTGTGTTCAGCACTAATCAGCAAATGTTAGCATGCTAATATGTTAAACTAAAATGCTGAACATGGTAAATTTTATATCTGCCAAACATCAGAATGTTAGCATTGCCATTGTGAGCATGTTAGCATGCTGGTGTTAGCATTCAACTCAAAGCACTGTGGTCTCACTGAGCTGGTAGCATGGCTGTGAACTCTGCAGTATCTGTTCCTGTTTACCAAAAGCATGATGAACATTTTCATGGTTAGGTAACTCAAAGTACTTGGATAACGTTGGAGAAAGATTGTTGTCTTGATTAAAATACCAAAAAAAGTCTAAGCTTTTTTGAAGCATGAGATGGGACACATTGATTTTTTTGAGTATTTAACCAAAACCATGATCTTTCCCTCACCAAGAAAGGGTTTTAGTTGTTGAACTTAACAAAGTGCGGGATGAAAGAATTAAATCCCAGTCTACTGTCAGACATGCTTTCCATACTCATCTATCCACTGTGGCCTTTTCCTACCTACAAGTTGGAAAAACATAACTTAATCCACGTAGCAATTATATTTGCTCCAGCACAAATCTGGCACAGAAAATCTGTAGTATGTAAACATACTTTGCGGGAAAGACAGGCAGGAAAGTGGTGGCAATAAGAAAAGCCAGAAACAATTGCCACAGTACATTGCCTATGATAAATCACCGTCAGAAAGAAGACTGAGAGAGATATTTAGCAGGAAGGGCCAAGCACAATATCCTCACAAGAAAAACCTGGGCCAGTGAGAGATAATGATGCGTACAGAGAAAAAAAACTCTCCCCATTTACCTGCATTCAGAATCAAACCCAAGAAGCATTTTCTATTCAAAGACAAATGGGCCCCATCAAGTTTGAGCGATACCGCAACAAGTGAAGGTGCCCCAGGCCCCCTATAGCTGAACTTAACCTACAGAGGACAAAGTGCTACTACATCAATGGCTACCTCAGATGATTACCTCTGTGGCTCCAAATAGCCACCACATGGCTCACAAGGCCGTCATCAGCCACATAGATGCCAGCAAATGGTCCAAGATGGGCCGGGGCAGGAAGCCGGCCACAGTGCGGCTTCCTCCCTTTGAAGTGTTATTAATCCTCAAGCATGTCTCTGTATGTGTGTGTGTGTGTGTGCTCTGGTACTTTTAGCTTTGTGAGGACAAGTTTGAAGTTAGGGAGAGTGAGGACTTTTTTTTTTTTGAAGGAGAAGACATTTCGACCTGTCATCATTTTTTCAAAGGACAGCTGAAGAGTTGATGAGTTTACCAAAATTACAACAACGTATATTTCATGGAAAGACAGAAAGATACAAAACTCTGACAACCTCACTTCTAATATTTGCCTCTTTTTTCATGGGTGTCCAGTTTCCCCCGTGTTCGATAATCTGTGTAAACAGGAGCCGCAAAGAGGGGCCATGAGGAAACTAGTTCAGAGAGAGCTGGCTTATGGAAAGATGTGGAGGTATTTGAATAAGAAGATGTAAAACGTATTTAAACTGGACATGGCTCTGCCCACCAATCCCTTAAAATGTGCTGGAGTCTTTATAACTGGCTGCAGCTGATGCTTTTATAAGCCATGTCACCAAGATATTAGGATTTTAGCAAATGTGATCTGTAAATATAAACTGAAGGGTCTTCTCCTAAGAAAGGTTGATGTACATGGCAAAAACCGCTGCCCTGTTGAGTTATGTTTTATCATTATTTAACCTTAAAAATATTGCTTTCTTAAAACAAAAAATCTTTCACTGCATTAAAACAGTTTCAATCTGTTACAACTAAAATAAACGTGTTGAAATAATTTTACATTTTTTATTGATTTTAGAGCACTGTTGTGCCTTAATATGTCCATTCCTAAAACAATTTTAAAATCCAATACATAATGATCAGTGGTCACCAATTGAAGATTTGTTGCAGATGCTGGGGATAGTTCGTAATGCATAATGATGAGAAAAAATATAAGTAATATACTTTTCGTGTCGTTTAACATTTGAATATAATTGAAAAAAGTTTATTTGAAACAAGCTCAATAATAGAAATTATTGATAAAATAGATTTTTTTAAACACTTCTGACAGTGAGGGGGTGGAGTTGATATCAACCAACATCACCTAGTCTGATCCCGTACAGTTGAAAGATTTAAGTCCGTGTGGATCCTGGATGTAACCCGGTAGTGTCCCTCGCCCTCTCAGTACGTGATCTTTCACCGCTTTTACAGGATTATCGCCCGGAGTTAACAGGGTCTTAAACAGCTGACTGGCACCAGGAACTGTGCTAGGAATTAGCCACCTGCTACACCGATGATCCGCAACCACCTAGCAGCAGAGGGAGACTCTACAGAACCTCTATGCAGGAAATGGCCTCCTGGGGGCAAAGATGGCGTCAAACAAGGTTGAGGTCGCTCGCCACCTCGCACACAGCGCTCAGCAGGAAGTGTGGCTTCCTCAAATCGGGGCTGTGAGGGCAGAGGTCAGGGTGACGGGATCAGCAGATCGCGTTACGGCCCCCAGATGTGGCAGAGGACAGACCATGGCTCCACTCTGGAGGTGTCCTAAATGTAGCGTGAGTGTCTACGCAAGCTTCGCTCTGGAGAAACGAGAACTTCTATTCTGAGAAATGTCATTCCTCTATTGAGTGTATTGATCTCTTTTCTAAACCTGTATTCTTTCAAGGCTTTTTTGAGCGCGCTTGCTATTTTTAAGCTTCACATTTACACACTCAGTTACCTTGAAACATCAGTTTAACACTCTTCCTGTGACCTTCCAAGCTGCCTCTCTGGAGCAGTTATGGTCTGTTAAGTGTGAACTGTTCCTCCAGGGAAACACAACAGAAGACGGACATGCGAGTGTGCCTGTTCGTATGATGTATGCCCTGTGTACGGATCATGTGAACCTCAGCATGGCTCGTGTTTATATTCTCAGTAAAATATTTCCAGTGGCTCTCGGTGTGCTGTGCTTCCTCACTGACCTGTCTGCCCTGTCAAGAGTGATGAGCTTGGGAATGAGAAACAGGTGTGTGTGAAATACGTGGATCACTCCTTTACCCCCCCCCCCCCGCCCCCCGACCTTTCTGAGCCAGTCGTGTTGAGCTGCGTTTTATGATGAAAAGGGGGGTTAAGGGAGGAGGGTGAAAAGAGAGGGAGGACAATCACAGAGAAAGAGAAACACAGAGCTGTAAAAAAAAAAAAAAAAAAGCTGTTTATTCTGTGATTAAACATCCAACTTTCTGCCAGTCAAGTGTTCAGCATCGTGATTCAGAGCAAATAACAAAAGCATCAAAAAAGTCACAGTGAAAAGAGCCGACAGGAGCCTTGTGAAGAGTTTATCATCTCCATGGATCCATAATTTTCTGGTGTTATTTTAGTAAACATGTGACTTTATCAGCATCAAAGGTTAAAGCATCTAAAGCTGCTCAGATTGTGAGTGATATGTGGTAATTGTGAGGCTCTTAGAGCTAAAAGTCCACTAAGATAATGTGTGAACTGTTTAAGATCTTTTAATCAACAACAGGAGAACAATACTGATTAAAGCACAGTCAAACAATCAATCAAATGCTTGATTGACAAGGAGCTCAACCAATCAAGTACTTTCAAGCTGCTCAGTAGGGTTGGCAGTAATTAATTTAGTAATTATTTTTGAAAATACAAGAGATTTTGGAATATAATTAATCAGCTAGCCCAATGAGATCATTTTTAGACTTGGTGGTTCAGTATCAATTGTTCAGTCTATCACGTTGAAATCTCAACAACTATTGGACGGACTGCCACAACATTTGGTACAGATAATGTTGGTGCCCACAGGATGAATCCTACTGACTTTGGTGATCTCCTGATTATTCATCTGGTACCACAAAGACAAAATTCCAGTTATTCTGTGAAATATTTGAAAATTCATCTTGATGGAATGATGCTAAATTTGCTACAAGCATTCCTACTACTTTGGTGGACTTTTCCTCTAGCGCCACCCTGTTTTGAGTGAAATATCTCAACGGCTACTGGATTATTTGCCAAGGAATTTCTTTCATGGCCCCCACAGGATGAATCCTAATCACCTGACTTTTCATGGTGCCACCATCAGATCACAATTTTAATTTGTCAAATATTTTGGTTTATGACCAAATACCTGCACAAACTGCCAATGTTAGCACGCTAACATGCTAAACCAATGTGGCAAGCATGGCAAACACGCTAGCTGCTAAACATTAGCACACTAGTAATGTCATTGGAGCATGTTAGCATGCTGATGCAATTGTTGTTTTTAAAGAGAATCAGCTGTTATTAAAGGGACTTTCCTTCATGTGTTCTCCAATTTGGAACTGATTAATCAAAGCACATAGGCCTATTTATTTATTCTGTGATCTACAAAGCATTGATAACTTATTTACTAACAATCAATAGAGTCATAGGTACAACTTTAAAGAGTCTGCTCTGTTAGAAAGTGAATCTGATTACTACTTCAACTTTCCAGCACATATTTTCAAGATAACCTAATATGCTATAAGGAATGCTAGCAATATGTTACTTATTTGATTAAACTTTCACTGACACTTGTAGGTTTCTATAGAAATTAAGAAGCTAAATGACTTGTTATGATGTTGCATTTGTCATTGTAGTCTTTCCCCTAATCCACAGCCCCCCTACAGCTCCACTCAGCTCCCTGCAGGCGACACAGGAGTCAGTTTACACAACCTTATACCTGCCCACCCCCCTCCGCCGTAGGGAGGTCGGGGCTCCCTCCTCACTGCTGCTGCCGTGCAGCGGACCGTCAGTGTGCCAGCAGTCCGCGCAGAGCGCAGAGCGCAGCGCCACGCTGAATCTGACCGTCTGTCACACGGAGGATCTCCACACCTTCACTGGATTTGAAAGACAACAAGAGTGGATAAACTGAGCGAATAAGGTGAGCACGCGGAAGGGCTGTCATTTTTAATAGTTGAGTTGTTAGGAGCTGCGTGAGTCCAGATTGATTTGTGACATTTACTTGTGAAGTTTACCGGAGCTGTTTGGGTGGATTCGGGTATGAACTGATAGATCCGATCAGTGTTCTTGTTTTTCACTTTTCCTCCGTTCTGTTTTTATAAAGTGGCAGCGCTATTTTACCGAGTGACACATTGGCAGTGTGAGTGATCACGTATTGACTGGACCTCATGTGAACTGTTCAGTTAAAATGATTTTTGTACTGGCTGACATATAACCAGTAGCCACGTTAACTAAAGATTACTGTGCTGTGGTGCTGATTTTGCCACTCTTAATAGTGGGTTATGCGGTTTAAAATCACTATATTACTGTCATTAAATACGAGTTTATTCCTAGAGTGGACAAGTCTCCACCTTATGGAATAGTACGTGTCTGTCAGTTTAAAATTTACTACGGGATTACTTCAGTTTGTCTTCTTAAGAGTTGTGCTTGAGATCTTTATGGTCTGTTTATGGCCGATGCCCTATAAGGCAAACTCTCCGTGGCAGTGTGATGGATGTCATGCTGTACACCACAGACCAGGCTTTTGGATGCCAAAACATTTTTTTTTTTGAGAAGCTGACAAATGCAGCAATTCATAAATCATCTGCCATGTAAACCTATATGTGGACTCACAGGTTTAACTCAGCCTTGAAGTCCAGTCAGTAAAAAGCTGCACAGCACGGACAGAGTGGCAAAGAGAGAGAGAGAGGGAGAGAGAAAGAGAGAAAGAGAGAGACATGGTTGACCACTGTGCTCTGATTAAAGCAGATAGTTGACCTGGGGATTGCAGGTTTATCCCATCTTAACTCTGCCCAGCTTTAAATATTTACATCTGGATGAAATCAGGGGAACGGCACAAATGAGGCTCTGGCTTCCAAACATCTAATCAGGGAAGAAATGTTTTTGTAATCTTAAATTAAATCAAGCATTTTCCTACCAATCAGTTCAATTATGACCAATACATGTCTGGTTTTGTGGACAGTCGTACTAATAAAAACAAATATATAAATGCCAAGACAGTGTTACCTGAGAACACTTTGGGAAGAACAAAAGTAAGTTGGGGAGGGTCATTATGCAATCCACCCACTCTAAAGCTGAAATGACCGTAATGGCTGTCTCTTCCAAGGGGGCAATCACATGCCCTCAGGGTCAACTCCACCTTGACCCACCTCTATCCCTCCCAGCCCCCCCTCCCCTAACTCTCTGCTGATACATTCAAGGCTCACGCATCCTGAGTTGGTTTGGTCAGCGTGGGGTCAGGCGCATAAACAACTTAGCAGCCAGACTAAACAGACCACACATGTCCTCTAAACACATTCACCCTCAGATTCATAGGTGAGCACGTGTTGGTTTGGACCGTGTGCAGCAGCAGGAGGTTTAATTCATGCTTTTTGATGCAGACCGTGAACTGGCAGTGACGCTTGCTTCACTCTTACTTTCCAGAGGGAGAGGTAATCTGTTCAGTTCCCTGCATAAGAAATGACAACGAAAGGAAGGTAAACTAATTTAGTAGGATTTCCAGATTAGTTTGCCCATTTTTCTGAGCACTTTAGGGATTTAGATATTAATTTAATAACTGTAATATAAAGTAATTGTTTTCTACATAGTTTTTGGTGTAATCACCCTCAAGGCTTTTATTAAAATGAATGGAGGGTTACGCATGATGCATTATGAATCGTTAGGAGGTAGATTTAAGCTGGTCTCCTCCCCACCTTTCTTAGATTCAGTTTTGTTTTTTCTTTGAAGTTGAATCCTTCAAATCTGACCTGGCTTGCATCCTTGCATAAAAGCTACAGTGAGTCATAGATCATTCAAAACACCCACAGCCACAACACCAGTCCTTCATATTGCGCACTTTCAAACACAGGATACAAACGCCTCTCCAACCAACCCGAATACCTACCTGCAAAATTACAGTGCGAAGCAGTCGTAAACAGTCCCTCTTTTTGCTCCCCTGATTCATGTGGCAGCGTGCTAATTTTCCAGCTGTAATACGGCTGCATCTGTGTTTGATGCTGATCCCAACAGAGCAGACGAGAATGCCTCCTCCTGTTACAGAGCACAGCGCCCAGGGGTGCAGAGCAGAGCAGAGAGTCTCCGTCTGGGGTGTTGACAGGAGGCCTGACATCATTAATATGACTAAATGGAATGTAATGTAGGTCTTTGCCTTCCTGCGTGGCTTATAGCACCAGCAGTGATTTTGATGGTGATGGTGTGGTTGGTGGTGCAACACTTCAGAACGTGAAATGCAGGTTGCAGACAGTGCCTGCAGAATCATGTTGACTTTATGACTTTTGAGACAGTTTGGTTTTATGTACTAAAGTTAGTCACACGTATTCACGTACTCACCGCACTGTAGCCATTTAAACAGAAGCCAAGAAGCCACCGTATCATTGACCTGTGCATGTTCTAGCACATGTCAAAGCGTTGAATATCTTATGGTATATAATAGTACACCAGGATTTCTCTTAGTCTTTTATTTTCCAATTTTCTCCCCCTTTTTGTATTTTCTTGACACTGTTTTTCTGAGGCTCCAAAATACATATAATCTGATTGGTTTGAACCACATCAGTTCTGACTGCGGAGAACAAGCGGAAGCCGCAGGATATTTCATGGTTTTAGTTCACAATGGGCCAATCATGTGTTTCTTATCACTTAAAGTTCAGCCGTACCACAGTCACATTCAAAGCATGGCTTTGCTTTCCTGCAGAGCACCGCCTGTACAAACAACACTTTTTTTTAAGAGGGACGTCAAACATTTGTTCAGTTTAATCACCATTTTGTTGCATGGGTGCATGTAAAGACCCCCAAGTTATGGCGGGAAGCTTGAGTTTCTAATTAGAGGGGAAAATGTACCCTGCTAATGACATCATCTTACCCCCTGGCACTGTGCTGAAGGAGTGCGTGTGTGCGTGTGTGCGTGTGTGTGTGTGTGTGTGTGTGTGTGTGTGTTGCCGAACAGCAGCTGGTTTTAGATATTTGACGTTCACAACAGTGTGAGACTTCAAACACTCCGTCGGGCTTATAATTTAGCTTTATTGCTCCTTGTCACCTTGTTTGGGCCATTGTGCCGCCGGTCTCTGCAACTTTCTCATCGACTGTTTTCAGGAAGAGCAGTTTGAAAAAGAGGAAGAACTTGTCAAAAAGTCTCAGCTTCTCAACAACATCCAGCACCAAAACAACAGATTCAGACAGGCACCCTATGATACAGTAATACCCACTCTTACACATGACTGCTGGCTGAAACGAGAAGTAAAACCTAACATTTACATACCAAGCCAGTATTTCTTCTGTTTTGTTTTGAGTGTGGGATCAGATTCACTGAAGTGATAATTTGATGAGCAAACATATTTTACAAAATGCACAAGCCTATGTAGCTTTCTGCACTGAAATATTTATTTGTTGGCTTATCCTTGTTGGAAGATTTACTATGCTGCACTCACAATTTGCACCAAATGCTCATATTTATCTCTGGATCCACAACAGATAGGATCATTATCTCAATCAGCCTTGTCATTCTCTGAGGTCTGAGTCAGTTTCTGCTGTTACATCACTTCCATCTCCATGGGCTCATAACTCAATCCATAATTCATCCTGGGCAATGGAATCATGAAACATGATCTGACAGATCTCCATCTTCCGACAGTCCCCTGTGTGTGGGTGACAGCTGTGAGAGCAGCCCTTCTCCCCATTGCTCTCACATCCCTGTAATTGTTCACAGTCCGACCGGGCGCCTCTGTAGCTTTGCCACATCCCATCACACTCAACCGTGCCGCGCTGTGTCCACTCGACCATGAGGAAGACGACACAGGGCCGGACGTCCCCCTCGACACAGGAGGAGACCATCGATGCAGCTCCACAGACTCTTCCGGGCTCCTCCAGATGTTTTCTGATTCTGACAGGAGCGAGGCAGGAGGGGAGGGAGGGGGAGGAGGAGAAGGGGGACAAACGAAGGGGTCTCTTTCCGCGGCACTCGGGGGGCTGTTTGCGGGGAAGCAGGTCGGTTGATCGGTAATGAGAGAAGACAGCTGGCAGGTTCAGCGGAGGTTAACAGCTAAGCTTAGATGGCAGCGAGGAAACACAGAGGAGCTTAGTCGAGGGTCTTTGTGTGAGAGATTTCTGGACGGTTCTTTTCATGCAGTTTTACATTTCTGGGGAGAAGTCATGATTGGTTTGAGGCTTTGATTTGGGAGAGTTGCAAAAGATCAGTGTTGTGTTTTGATTTGTGGCATCTCTCAATGAACGCGCAGGACTCTTCTGACATTTTCTTGGTATTGTATATGTGTTTTTGTTCTTGCTGATGTTTCTGGTTTCAAATGGGCAAGACTCAGCTGTAAAAAGATTCACAGATTAGGTGAGTTTGTGACTGTAAAACTTCCAATAAATAGTATGTGGGGATTTTTTTCTCCCAAATTTGACCTATTTAGTCATGAATATATATTTTGATGGAGAAATACTAAAGATCTAAAACCAAGCTTTCAGGTAGCTAAAACAGCTAAAAACAATCCCTCTTTAAAAAATGAAGACGTAGGTTTGGCTGATGCATCCAGTAAACAAACTGCTGCCACTGTAAGAAGTGTAAGTTGAGCATTTTATTTCATCACAAATTGTAGTCTATGTACTTGGTGAAAACGCAAAGCATTGTTCAGCTTTGCAGATGGTAAATCAATGTTGGCACATTTAAAGTGGTGGGGAGTGTGTAGTAATACAGTAGGGAGGGGAGGGGGGTTGGGTGCAGTTTGGCACCACAGTCACAGATGACCCAGTGTTTGGGGACACAGCACAGCTGGAGCAGCTTTAAGCCCCAACCAACCCCAAACAGCCCTGTCACAAGTCCTCACAAGTTAGTGTGAACCTTATGCTGCTAACATCAGCAGCATGTGTTTGGAATAATGTAATAATACTGTCTCTGTGAGAAGAGAGAGAGGTTATACAGATGTG